GTTTCAAAGGATCCTGCTTAGGCCCTCCTATCTCACCTGTTACAGGATTCTTTTCACCTTCAAATTGTGGTGGTGGTTTTTCTTTTACATCCGGATGTGCTTGTAATTCCTCTTCTTCAATTGCCATCGTAGCGCTGGTAAATGAACCTTGTTTTTTACGAACCAGATCTTCGAATTCTTTTTGTTCTTGTGGATCACCCAAAGGAATTGGGCCTGGTCTCTTGAATGGTGGGTCTGTTGTATATGACCGAAAAATGTGACTTACTGTGCGTATTGTGATCTGAGACGAAGAAAGAAAACGGGTTGTTAAATTCATCTTTTTAATGAAAAAAAAGTTTGTGGGTGAATTCAATTTATAGGAGTTCAATTATCCGGGGGTTATCGGATCTTGCATTATCGTAGATCCCGACGTGTCCCGATTAAACAAATAAATATATATCTGTATATGTTTATACACGTAATGCAAAATCTGCAATAACTACTATGGAAGACAATGATGCAATACTCGCAAAGAAATTACAAGAAGAAGAGTATAAAATAAACGAAGATACCGATTCTTTAGCTTTGGCGCGTCAGCTACAAGACGAAGAAGGTTTGTTTTAGTTTCTAATAAGTGCATTTCAGCCTTTAATCTTTTTTTTTTTAGCTTTTGGAAGTAACGAAAATCCGGACGAGCCAAATCCTGATCTTCATGGTCTCTTTATTGCTTTTGATCAACAATATTTTTGGGGAAGCCTGAAAAGTGTTGAGGTTAGATGGTCAAATAAAATGACTTTGGTATGAGTATATCTATTTGATTTATTTTATTCGGTTTAAAATTGTGAATTATACTCTGACTATCAATTTTCGAAACTTAAATCAGTGTGCTGGGCTATGTTGCTATCAAGCAGGTGGTTATTGTAGCATAAGGTTAAGCGAACCATTGTTGAAATTTCGAACTCGTCAGGATATGATCGAGACATTATTACATGAAATGATTCATTCCTATCTGTTTGTAACTAAAAATTACAAAGATCATGGTATGTTATATTCTTGATCCGTCTAATATTTTACTTCATATTTCTTGATTAAAACTATCATTTTTATTAAGATGCACACGGTCCTGAATTTCTTAAACACATGGAACGCATAAATTCTTCTGCCGGAACAAAGATAACTGTGTATCATAATTTTCGTGATGAAGTTAATTATTACCGAACGCATGTCTGGAAATGTGATGCATGTATCATTAATATAATAATAATAATTATTATACGTATTATTATTATTGTTATTATTACTAATAATGTTATTTTCTCAAAATCTTATTTAGGGTCCATGCCAGTATAAACCGCCTTATTTTGGAATTGTGCA